CATCCAGTTTCCCCCTGTGGCTACATCTTCTGTGACCTTAGCACCATGTGACAACCAGGAAGTTGATGTCACTGCCATGTATGTGTATCCTTATATGTCATTTTGTTACCTGTACAGGTTCAGGTAGCTGCTACTGCAGTCTGCAGGTAGGACTGTTGCCTCCCTACAAGACCTCCTTGGGCTACCCCTGTGTAGCCACATCTACTTCCCTGCCTCTTACCACCCCAACCCCTGGCCAGCACAAATCTACTTCCAATCTCTTTACTTTTTTTTAAACTTATTTTTGATTCACACCCATATGTGTTTTAAAGTATCTGATAGGCAGAGATAGAACACAAACACCCCTATTGAATGGTTCACTTCCCAATTGCCCACAATGGCTAGGACTGGGCAGGGGCTGAAGCCAGGAGTTTTGAATGGTATCCAGGTGTCCCACACGGGTGACAGGAACTGAATTATTTGAAGCATAACTACTGCTTCCTAGGGTCTGCATTAGCAGGAAGAGGAAGTCAGGAGCTGGGTATCCAACCAGGTATTCTGGTGGTGGATGTAGGTGCCTTCACCAGCATCTTAACCACTAGCCCAGTGGCCTGCCCCTGTCTCTTTAATTTTGTCGTTTCAAAAATGTTGTATAGACAGACTCACACAGCTTGTGATCAGCTCCTCACCACCCCCCACCACCCCTCTGTGTGATGGCCTTGATGTCCACCCAATGTCCTTTGATTAGTTGTCCATCTCTTCTTATTGCTGAGTGGAGTCCCTCGTGTGGATACACCACAGTTTATTGAATCAGTCACCTCTTGTGGTTGTTTCCAGTTGGGGGCTATTATGAATAGAGCTGCCATGAACAACACACACAGGTTTTTGTGCAGTTGTAAATTCTCTTTTCTCTGGGATGAATGTACAGGGGGCAGTTGCTAAGTGTTATCCTTTGCATGTGTGTGTGTCTGTGTGTGTGTGATGTGTGTAAGAAGCTACCAAACTGTCTCCAGAAGGACTAGATTTTTTTGTTAACTCCTACCAGCAGTGTATGAGAGACCCAGTTGTTCTGTATTGTCACCAGCATGTGGTATTGTCACTTTTATTTTAGCTGTGCTCCTGGGGTGGGGGGTGCTAGTCTCTCACTTAAACTGTGCACGCCTGATGGCAGTGATGTTGAACATTTTTTCTTGTGCACATTCGCCACACATCTGTTCTCCTCTTTGGTAAGATGCTTCTTCATGTGCTTTGCTGGTTTTCTAATGGGGTGGTTGGGTTGTTCTCCACCTTAGGGGAAGAGCACTCAGCCTTTCACCCTGAAGTGTGGTGCCGGATGTAGGTTTCTCTAGATGTTCTCTATCAAATTGAGAAAGCCGCCCTTCGTTCTGAGTTTCCTGAAAGTCTTTGGTTATGACTAAGTGTTAAATGTCATCAAGTACTCTTTCTGCATCAGTTAATCTGGCCATGCAATTTTTCTACTTTTAGCCTCTTCATATGGTGGATTACACTGATTGGTTTTCAAATATTGAACCAGTTTTGCATCTTCAGAATCAACCTCCACTCAATCAGAGGGTACAATTACCTTTGTAGATTGCAGAATTATCTTTGCCAATATTGTGTTAAGGATTTTTGTGTTTCAGGTAGGATATTGGTCTTTAGTTTTCTTTATTTGTCTTATCTCTGGCTTCAGTATCGGTGTATACCTGGCCTCCTATGAGTTTGGAAGTGTTCTTTCCCTATCTTTCCTGGATGAGGTTGTGTAGTGTTGATGTTAATTTTGGTTTATACATTTGACAGAATTCTACAGTGAAACCATCTGAGCCTGGATATTTCTTACTGGGAAGTTTTTAAATTACAAATTCAATTTCCATTATTGGTATAAGACAATACATATAATCTGTTTCACATGGGAATGTTAGGATAGTTTGTGCTTTGCAAGTCTCTGGACATCTCATTGGATTTAATGTATATGTCTAACCTGTAGCATTTTCCTGTTATGCTGTTGATGACTATAGGCTCTGTTTTCCTTAACTCTGGCCAACTCACAGTGTTTGCCAATCTATAGGTGAGGGATGAATCTCGCAGGTTAGTTTTCATATTTTGGTGTCAGCTAAATGGAGCACCTTTCTGTTTCTGTTCACTCATGCCTTTTCCCTTCTCCTGTTTGGCTGTTTATTTTTGTTATTGATTTGTCAGGGCTTGTTCTGGTTATAAATACTAACCCTCTTCCTGTCATATATATTATAAATAATCTGGGTCTCATTTTTCTCTTTATCTTTTTTACTGATTCTTTTGTCACGCATGCATGCTTTTAATTTTCATGTAGTTAAATCAATCAATATTTTTGTTAGGCCTCTGGGGCTTCATGTTGCATTCATCAGTACTGAATCAAGTTCACCAAATAGAAACCCACATCAGACTAGCTCGGGAAGAACTAAAAGAAAGGAAAGAAAGAATATTGGCTATGGCACTGGGCATTGCAGAGAGGGGTCTGTGTGCGTGGCCAGATCAGCAATCTCAGAAATAGCATCATCAGAGCTTTGCTTCTCTTCTCTTTCACTGCTGAGCTTTCAAAACATGTCTATGTGGTGTTAAGGACCCCAAATAACAGACTTTCAGCATGTGTTTATCCCATGGAAAGACTCAGAATGACCTTGCTCAGGTGGTGTGCCCTCTTCCCTCGTTTCCATACCTTGAACAGGTTGTCAGAAGGAGGCACAGTGTGCACAATTGGCCGTTCGAGCCACTGCAGTGGGAAGTGGGCTGCCTTTCAGAACCCATGCTGTGGACAGCTCCCTTGAAGCATGAGGGTAGGTGGACGCCAAAGCAGTCCTGTCCACATGTCACACTTGGGAAGGCCGAGCCCATTCCCAGCAGAGGACTGTCTTTTTAAAGTCAGTGTTCTTGTAATTTGTATGGATTCATGATTTTACATACAGGTTTTAGACGAGAGAGAGAGAAAGGGAAAGGAGAATCAATAGATATGGGGAGAGGTAGGGATCCTTTTGCTGGATGTTTTTATATTTGAAGACAAGTTGACCTTGAAAATTATTTGCTCAGATTCACCATAATTTGATCATCTTTTCTTCTTTCTGAGCTGAATTTGAGTCGCTGTGAATCCTACAAAGTTAGGATGGTGGTGAAGACAAGTCCGCAGGGCTAAAAAAATCAGTACTAACATCTAACAGATATTTTAGATATTAACTTTATTCACTTTAACTTGTCTGAGCCCAATATCCACTCTCCTCAGGGACATTCTAGGCATCAAGATGTCATATAGCAGTGGGAGGTAGACAATGGGTTCTAGAAGCACCACACTCAGTCAAAAACATCTAAAAATTGTAGTAAATGTAAACCTGGATTCCCTTCCAGGGCCTGGGGATAAAGGACAAAGTTGAGCAGGAGACTGGCTGCTTCCCTGCCACTTGTGTGTGCACAGGACCCCAGTGGTGGGCAAGTCTTCACTAAACGTGTCCCTGAGTGCCCATTGTTGTCTTTTGTTAAAGATTTTATCGATTTATTTGAGAGGTAGAGTTACGGAAAGAGAGAGGGAGGGAGGGAGAGAGAGAGAGAGAGAGAAAGAGAGAGAAAGAGAAAGAGAAAGAGAGAAAGAGAAAGAGAAAGAGAAAGAGAAAGAGAAAGAGAAAGAGAGAAAGAGATCTTCCATCTGTTGGTTCACTTTCCAGATGGCCACAACAGCCAGAGCTGGGCTGATCTGAAGCCAGGAGCTTCTTCACCCACGTGGGTGCAGGGGCTCAAGTACTTGGGCCGTCTTCTTTCCCAGGCCATAGCAGAGAGCTGCATAGAAGTAGAGCAGCCAGGACACGAACCAGTGCCCATATGGAATATCAGCACCGCAGGATGAGGCTTAGCCTACTGTGCCACAGCGCTGGCCTCCAGTGTTGTCTTTTTAACCTTAGAAGACTTACAAATGACTCTCCTGGGGCAAGCATTGAGCCTAGCAGTTAAGATGCCATCATTGCACATCATTACCCAGGCTTGGTGCTGGGCTCCTGACTCCAGCTTCCTGGAATGCAGACCCTAGGAGGCAGTGGTGATAGCTCAGGTAGTTGAGTTCCTACCACCCTTTGCAGAGTCCTGGATAGTGTTCTTGGCTCCCAATTTCTGCCCTGGCCCAGCCCCAGCCATTGTAGGCGTTTGGAAAGTAAATCAGTGGTTTAGAGCTGTCTCTCTGGCTCGCAAATAAACACTTTTTTAAATGACTGTCTTGTACAAAAAACTTATTACCATAAGTTCAGCAGTTCCTTTAGATTCACCCATTTCTTTTTCCTCACTTGAATTCCAGAAAGAAAATTTAAGCATTTTAATTTTAAAAGCATGCACAGCGTGATCCCATTTGTATGAAATTATTTGGTTGAATATGATCCCACCTATTGATCTGTTCATTTTGGTGCGTGTCAGCTGTCAGCAGTGAGTGTTTCTGGATTGTATTGGGGTTTTGTTTTTTGCATTCTTCTTTTCAACTAATAAGCACTTATTTCTATAAAAAGCGGTAGACATCCCTTTTAAAGAATAGAGTCTGTGATAAGAAGCACTCACACATTGTTACTTAGATTTTGAATTTTTTTCTCAATATGTGAATAAATATTGTCTGATAGCAATTATTACCTGTCAATTTCTGGTGAATTCTACCCAAAGCCTCAAAGAACCTTGGCCAGAGAGGAAAGAGATAAGAGGGGAAAAAAAAAAAAAAAACAGAAGAGGGAACAAAGGATGAAAGGCAAAGGAACAGGCTGGCCTCTGGGTCGGGCATCGGGCCATGGCTTTGGGGCAGGCAACCCTCATATTTCTGGGGCAGAAGACTGCTGATTTTCATCCTCTCTGTCGTTTGTCTTTGAACGTCTTCCAAATGTCCTCTCTATGCCTTTAGTTATGCTGTCTTCCTGTTTCTCCCTAGCTTTGATCAGTACTGTGCATCCAACAGGTGCTCAATAAATGCCTCAAGGATGTGTAGATTCCCAGGAGGGTCCTCTCCCTAATTGCATCTCTTTGTCTTTCAGACTCACCGGCTTCCAGCTGCCTGCCACCATCGTTAGTGCGGCCACCACCCTTACTCTGCGCCTCATCAGTGACTATGCAGTCAGCGCCCAGGGCTTCCACGCCAGCTATGAAGGTAGGTGCTCCCGCTCACCCCCAGAGCCTGGGATGTGAGGGCTGCGTGCTCTCAGCTCTGCAGGGCAGGTTTCTTCAGCCTCAGAGCTTGCACCTGTCTTAACCCAGCTGCTTGGTAACCTAACTCAGTTACCTGCACGGTTCCTTCCACCTGCTCAGGAAGCTGAACATTGAAACCAGAGCTTAGCTGCAGTAGTTCATCCTTAGGGCCTGGCGATGGTACTTCTCCACCTTTAACTGGATTGTGTTGTGTTTTTATTTTGTGGATTCTGTTTCCTATGAAGCTTAATTGCATAAGGTACCTCAGGTTGTTTTTGAAAGTAAAAGCGATATAAGCTCTCGGAGAAACAAACAGCTGAAAACTCCATACAGGGACTACAAAGAGTTAGTTTATATCATTCAGAAAAGAACAATCGGCGTTTGCTTAATAGCAGGGATCAGGGTTTTCTGGTTTGAGCTATGCAGGTAATTTCACTTCTCTTAGTCTGTTTAAGTATGGAGTTAGAATTCAAATTAACACTAATGTCTTAAGATTATACACTATTATTATTAACTTTATTATGTTAGTTCAGAAGGTGGTACTTCTAGATCTCTGTCATTTCCCTAGGAAATTTACATCTCATTAATAGGTAATTATGCTGTTCTTGGCTAAGACCTGCACTGCTATTTTGTGTTGAGATCATTAATAGGCACGTTTTAAGACTGTTAATGATAATTAATAACATCCCAGTAAAGCAGTTATTTGAAAGCTTTCTTTCCCTTGCCTTTGTTTGAGAACTTGAAGGCTAAATGATGCTTTCTTGAATGAACTTATAGCAATTTAGAAATAGATAAGCATCTTCGTCCAGGCTGGGAGTCTCCCATGTGAAGAGGATCATTCTACCTCCTTGGCAGAATGGGCAGGCAGTTGGAGACTTGAACCTGAGCAACTGAGTGCTCCTTCAAAAATCTCAGTTGTTAAAGATTGCTGAGAAGGCCCCAAGAAAGTTGTGCATGCCTTTAACTGAGGGCTGCTGACATGACTGCTCTTCACTTCAACTGGGGCTCCTGACAACTCTGCTTTACTTTAACTGAGGGCTCCTGATGTAAGCCTGCTTCATTTTAACTGAGGGCTCCTGACATGGCTCCACTTCACTTTAACTGAGGGCTCCTGACAAAAGCCCAGTTGTCTTTAAAGTAAGGACTACTGAGATGGCCTGGCTTCTTTTTTAAATGATCAGCTCTTCCCAATATCAAGTCTCTGGTCTTAAGTCATCCTGCTTCTGCCTTCACTCCAGCCCTGAATCCAAACTCATTCTCTTCAAGTTTTAGCTACAAGCTCCTTAGTAAGAGAGACCTCTTCGGAAGCATGTGAAAGTCTCCATGGCCATTAGCTCCTTCTACAGTGTATTTCCCTCGGGGAGAGTCTCTGTGTTTGGGGGTGGGGGATCTGAGCCAGGGACTGTACAGGAAGTACCCCCTGGAGATTCTAGAAGTGACTGGCATGTATGGGGCCCAGCTGTGTGTGCTGGGCCTTCTTAGTGTCCTCATTCAACCATCCTCATGGATCTCTCTTTGTCTGAGGCCCGAGGTTTCAGAAGACTTGAGGAGAAAAGTGTCCTGTGGCTCCCTGGCCACACCTTGTTGTCTGTAGGACAAGGTCAAGTACTTCTCCATCGGACTCAGCAGGTCTGAGTGTTCACGGAGCCTTTGGAAACCAAGGTCCTAGCCCAGAGTTTAAGGGCAAAGTCTGTAGTCACAGAGGTCTCTGAACCTCTGCGTTGCAGACAGAATTCTGAGAGCTTGTGTGCAGCAGAGGTTGGCCAGCCAAGGCCCGCTGACCAGATTGTCCAGCTGGCAGGGGGGTTGTGCTGCAGCAGTATTCACCATAGCCTGGTTGTGGAATCAGTCTAAGTATGCACCAGTGGATGAGTGGATAAAGAAGACATGCAATGCACACCGAGCATACTATTTGGCTTTAAAAAGGAGGGAAATTCTGCCATGTGTGACAACATGGATGAATCTGGAGGACACATGCTATGTGACTAAGCCAGGCACAGAAAGCAAACATGGCCATGCCCCATAGAGTGCCCTTTTTGTTCAACGACGGATCCTGTACAGTGGTCTGCACCACACAGCTTGGGTGTGCAGTGGACCAGACCTCTAGGTTTGTGTAAGCACACTTTATATGGTGGCACAAAGATGAGATGGTCAAACAGCATGTTTCTCAGAGCAATGCAGGATTGCTACGGATACATGCATTTACTGTGTGTCAGTAAAGTTTTATCGGGATATGGCCATGCCCATTTGTTTATAGGTAGAGTAAGGGTGCTTGTGTGCTCTACAGCCACAAAGGGGAGCTCTTGCAGCGGAGCCTTTGTGACCTGCAAGCCCTATAAAATACTCTCTCGCCCTTTGGAACGGAAGTGTGCTAAGCCTCAGTCTAGAGCTGTGCTGTCCACCGTGAGGCTCCTGTGTCTGTCTACATCCAAGTTCATTGACCTTAAATGTAATTTAAAATTCAGGGTCCCAGTTGCCCTGGCCTCATGTCAAGTGCTCAGTTAACACATGCAGCTTTTAGCTGCGAAGACAGAGAACGTTTCCATCACGGCAGGAAGTTCTATGGGACAAAGCTGAGCTACAGCTTCTGCAAGGTTCACGAAAGGGCCTGTGATTCCAAAGAGGTTACAGAACATTCGGGATGACTTAGGAAGCCAGGAGTGGCAGCCCAGCTCGGGGGTCAGGGGGCTGCTCAGCATTCACAGCAGGGACACCAGAGTGAGGAACCTGAGCCAGGTGATGGTGTTGGGTCTCTAAGTCACTGGCACCAGGACCACAAAGCCTCCCAGGGGAGCCCTAGCAAGCCTACGTCCAGTGCACACAGCTGCTGTGGCAGAGTGAGGGCCTAAGCAGTCACGGGTGCAGGGATTATGCAGACTTCCCAGGTCATGTGGTTAGCTGTCCCTGCAGCGGGTCACGGAGGCCTGTGCTAACAGGGGCATCAGGCTCCGATGAGCCAAGGCTGTGGTTGTCACCACACTGTTGAGCTTGGGACTGGACCATGGGGTAATTTGTGCGTCTGGACCGAGTGAGTTGCACCCACTTGTGAAATACCCCAAGTGGCAGGGCGAGGAGGGAAGTTGGGGGGAATAGACAAGGGCAGCCCCCGCTGTGAATATACCCCTGGGTTCAATTTCTCCCTGGGACTATTCATCAACAGTCCTGGTAATTCCATATCTGGGGATTTGCTGATAAATACTAGCTTCTTGGGCATAAAACCTAGCTGACTGGCAGATTTTTAAACTTTGTGGGGCTCACTAGGGATGGAGGAAGGGAAGTTCCTATAGCCACAAGGGCTGTGTGTCAATCTGGCATGCAGGGGTGGGGCTCAACCCCTCCCTGCGTGGCAGAGCCCATCTTAGGGTTTGTGCTGTGTAGCAGGCAGAGGAGCAGAACCTGCGGCCAGCCTGGGCTGTCCCGAGGCAGAACAGCCACCTGCATTCTCTGTTCACCACATCGCCCTCTCCATTTCCAGATGGCACCCAGGCCCTGCCCTTGGTGGCCACCCTTGGCCTGAGTCCCCGACTGTCTGCCCTGCAAGCGAGTTTGGTCCTCATGCACCCACACCCCGAGTGTGAGAAGTGCAGATAAGGGCCTGAGCCGCTGTGAGGGCTTCAGTGGGAGCTGAAGCCAGGGGCAGGGTGTCAGCCCGCCCTGCACAGAGGGGAAGATCAGAAAAGCCAGGGGTCAAGCACTGAGATGACACAGGATGCTTAGTTTGTGATCCCTTGGGGGAAAGAGTGTGGGCCGCAGCCGCTGGACTAGAGGGAAGGGGATCGGCTTGTATGCCAGGCACTTTACGAACCTTATCTCATTTAGTCCCCCTCGGCTCACCCGTGCACCGATGTTGCTATCTCTACCTTACAGACGTAGCAGCTGGGCCTCGTGGGAGGTTTGTGTGCCACGCAATGGCTACTTGCTGGCCAGGAGCCCGAGTGTGGCTTTTTCTGGCACAAAAGACTGTGCTGTAATCCTGCGAGAGGCTCCCTGCAAAACCCCTTCGGTAAGGCCGAGGCTGGAGACTTCACAACACAGGCAGGTCAGAAGCAAGGGTGGGCGCAGGAAGTCTGCGTGGCCTCCGTGTCCCTCCAGGCTGGCGTGCGTCATCCCATGGAGACAACCAGAAATGCATTCCTGAGCTTCGCGGCTAGGAGTTGCAGATAAAGGAGTGGATGCCCAGTTGATCTGAATTCACTCAAATTTCTCATATGTCCCAAATATTGCATGGCATACGTCCATACTGAAAAGCTTCTCTAGGGGCTGGCGTTGTGGTGCGGTGGGTGAAGCCGCCACTTGCGACTCTGGCATCCCACATCGAAATGGTACTCTGCTGCCGATCCGGCTCCCTTCTGATGCACCTGGGAAAGCGGCAGAAAACCGCCCAGGTGCTTGGGCTGCTGCACCCATGTGGAAGATGTGGATGGAATTCCTGGCTCCTGGCTCCTGGCTTCAGCTTGGCCCAGCCCCAGCTGTTTCGGCCATTTGGGGAGTGAACCACTAGATGGAAGATACCTCTCTCTCTCTCTCTCTCGCTCTCTCTCTCTCCACCTCCCTCACCCCCACCCTGCTTTTCTCTCAGATGTTCTGCCTTTCAAATAAATAAGTCTTTAAAAAATAACATTTGTTCTTCTAGAGTTCAAATTTAACTAATCAACCTGGCTTTTTATTTGCTGAATTCAGCAACCCAGCTTTCAACACCGAGTCTGAAAGTAGGCCCAGGAGCCCTCCCCTCACTCACTTTCTCCTCCTGCTCACAGGCCTGCCCCCATCCTGTTCTGCGTGGGGAAGGCCAGCTATCCAGCTGCGTCCTAGCAAGTGCACATTTCAACAGCTCTCTGCGCACTCCCAGTGCGTGCACAGCCGCAGACCCACCCTGTGGGCAGCCGGGATTACTCCATCTTGCGACTCTATCATCTGTGTTGATGAGGTCAGTGGTTTTCTGTGTTAACAGGAGAAGCCCCG